CCGAGCTAAATTACCATGAAAGAAGCAAATTTGAACTTTTTCTGAAACACAAAAATACTAAATACTAAAAAATACATGTCAACAACTCAAAAGGCAGTTGTGTAATATATCTACTCTTGATCATACTCAACATCAGTACTGAATATAATAAGTCTAGTTTTAATATAACGATATCAATGTTCCGAGCTAAATTACCATGGAAGCCTTAAGCAATTCATGTCAAATATAATAGACTTGAAGCAAATTTGAACTTTTTGTGAACCACATAAAAATACAAAATACAAAATAAATACATGATCAAGAGTAGATATATTACACAACTGCACAAGAAATGCCACTATACAGTGGCATTTCTTGTGTAGTTGTGTAATAAATTATATCTACTCTTGATCATACTCAACATCAGTACTGAATATAATATAAGTCTAGTTTTAATATAACAATATAAGAATATACAGCAGCTTATGGTACACGTAAATTTTTAGTTCAGTAGATCATCAAGTGGGTCGCTCTCTTCTTCCTGAGAGGAAGAACTTGCTGCTTTGGTGCACTCCATTTTTTTGGTTACTTCCTTCAGCTTGTTTGCCAACGATTGCCTCACTGCTGACGCGTGCACAGATGGCCCATGTTTTCGACAAGTGAGTTCTGAAATTAAACACATAATTAAAACACAATAACGTACAGGCTCCTTTACATGAAATGGAAGTAATTTATAGACAATATTTACATTCCAGTGTTTTCTCCTATATTTCAAAAAAACTTACCAACTATAGCATCAACTTTTAATTTGGGTCAAGTCTGTCCTTTTACTTGCCCATCCTTGAATGCGTTCGACTTCTTCCCAGTAAGGCTTTTGCCCACTAGCTCACTTGGAGCAAATACCAGCTGCAACAACCTTCTGGCATATGCGCTAGCCGAAGTCGCACTTCCAATTGCCAGCAAACTTGTTTTTTCTACAAGTACCCCTCGTCCAATATCAACCTGTCAACATGTAGTAAAACTAAGCATAAGAAATTTGCAAGAAAAATCATAAACCAATCACAACTTCAAAATACAATATACATATTTTAGCACATCATGTGTCATATTCCATTAAAACCAATATTTTCAGCAAACTATGTAAAAAAGTTAAAATAATCCATAACGAAACAATTCCTGAATTCATGAATGCTATATGACTATAATAGTAATTAATTTAAAAAAGAAACAATGTTCTTGCTAGATCAACGGACTGAAAGAAAAAACTCCAGCATTTTTATAACTCACTTTAGTCGTTTCTTTTATTACACGACCTGGTGACACCGAGTTGCTACAAAATGACGGATCCCTTCTGATCTTCTGGCCGTCTCCGAGCGTTGTTTTTTCATGCTCCTGCTTCACAAAAAATGTAGTCATTTAGGAAATTAATTAATATCTGAAAATTATATTAGCAAAATGTGTACTTAATCCACTTTCACAAGTTTTTAGCAGTTTTTATCTTATATGCTAGTATCAAACATATGCATTTAAATTTTAGAGAGCTGAGCACTGAATACAGCCATATGCAAAGCCCTACAACCGGAACTTGTAGTTCTGAAGCTACCCAAATCCTACAAGAACAGGTCAGGTTATCACATACATTCATTATATCAGGAGTAGATAATAGAAGATCTTCTATTATCTACTCCTGACCGTGAGTTCACCAAACACCCAGCATCTTGGAAAAGTAAAAGTGTTATCTTAAGAATTATATTTCTTTGCTAAAAATACGGTAATTAATTATGATAATCTGCACCAAAATATTTCTGCATTATCACTTTTGTGTTCATTCACTCCTGAGCAATTGTATCAACCATAATTATTAGAACTTGTAAACTCATCTGTTACGAATTTCTAAAGCAATGAATTTAAACAGTTTTGATCAGACCTCTAAGAACACCCATATTATACAGCAAGTTTGTGCATAACTGGCATAAGTAAAATTATAAAACAAAAAAATAACTCACCAGCAGCAATATCTTTATACTGCTTTACTTCTTTTTCTAGCGATCTGATCCTTTCCTTCTGCTCTCTATACTTCTTCTTTAGCCTGTCATACTTCTCACACTTCCCACATACCTCAGCAGTATTACTCTCATCCCGTTTCTTTCTCTCTAGATCATCAAAAAGGTTCTGGTCTCTACGGAAAGAGTCGACCTTTTTGACTTTACGGCTTGTGCTGGTAGAAGTTGTTTCAGCCTGAAAACATCAAAAAAACATTTATGTGTCATTGATTGTTATGTGTCGACGTGTCATGATTCATGTCTTATGAATTTGACTATATATATTGCTACATGCATGAATTAATCCCGTTTGCTCCTTTTCCTTTTTTAATGTGCAACTGACTTATCTGTCTGTTATACTAAAAATATTATTATTAAAAAAAGTGCAGGTTATAGGGGACAGGCGTCGAAAGATGGGCAGGAACGTACGCAAGTAGGTGGGTAGACAGGAAGGCATGCATGCATACATATGCGGGCAGGCAGGTGCGCCAGCCTGCTTGCCCACCTACCTGCCCGCGCATGCCTGCTTGCCTATACCAGAAGCCTATACCCACCTACTTGCGTACGTTCCTGCCCATCTTCTGACGTCTGTCCCCTATATAACCTGCGCCTTCCTACTTAAACATAAACTTCTCTACTATACATGATACAAGTGTTTCAGTTTTAAAATGAATTATAAAACGTGTAATACTGAAACATCTTTTGTCGAAAACCACATGCAATTGACCTCAGCCGGACATTTGTTTACTGAAGCTTGATCTCAAGCATGGCGTTGCGTAGCTCTAGAACTATAGCCCTTCGCTCCGCCACAGGCCAGGTATCCAAGCATGTGATCTCAGGGGCGTGTACAGTATTTGGACCAGGGGAGGGGTCTAACCGTAACCCAAACGTGCGAAGACGCGAAGGGGGGTGTGGGGGGCCCTCCCCCAGAATATTTTTGAAATTAGACCCCCTGAGATGCGTTTTCTGCGCGAGCAGAGAGGGGGGTCCGGACCCCCTGGACCCCCCATGTACACGCCCCTGGATCTCTAGCTGCAAAAATGGCTTATATTGACTTATTAAATGAAATTTATAAAACAATTAATTATTATTTGGACAAAGAATACTACTATTACTAGGCCTACTCACTGAGCAGTTCTCCGAACTTGATTCCAATTCTTCTCCATCCAAAACTTTTCGTTTTTTTGGACGAAGTCCTTTTCCTGCTGGTTTAGATTTTTCCAATTCCAGTGCAGCTTCTGTTCGTTTATTCTCCATGGTGTTCTGTTTACCTGTGCAATATAAACTGTTTAATAATAGACAGATATAAAAATACTTCATTCATAATTAAATATAACAATGCATTGCACAATACTTTGTCAATCATTGACTTTTATTCAATGCTAAATAATTTACTGCAACTTTAAGCACATAGTGCGCGTCTATCTATTCTAATACTTTAGCCCATCTGTGAACTAAGATATTGTAAAGTAAAAAGCTTTTTGCTCAGCGGACTCACCAAAATCCAGAACATATGCTGGTCCCGTTTCTTCTCCCCAAGGAAAATCAAATACTTTTCCAATAGCCTTCTTGAGAGTTTTCGTAGCAGCGAGAAACTTCAGCTCTTTACAGCATTCGCTCACCTCCACGACATCCCACATAGGTGGTTCTTCCACCCATTTAACTAATACCCAAGCCATTTAGCTTTGGACTTATAAATCAATGACTTGAACTTCCAGAACTATGAGTATGAACGAGTCAAGAAACACTGAACGACACCGCCACACCGGCAATTTGAATTTAGCGCGCCAGCGGTTGCTAGTGGTTGACTTCAATATAACGAAAACGCATTTTTAGGACTTCAAATTTCTCTATGGCTGTCCTGGCAGTACAACATGGGGTTGTTCTGTCATTACAAGATAGCCAGCTTTTCGGTGATGTCAAAACATATACAGACGCATTTTGCCAGCCAACATATCGAAACTCATTTGCTTGGATCAAATTACCAGGTTCTGCGTAGTTTTCATATCAATCATGGGTTCTTGACAAATACTTACCACCGTACTCGGTCACAAAAAACATGGACAGATTTCGGCCATATTGTCATTGACATATCGAAGTTATTAACGAATATTTGGACAGCCTGGCGCTAGGTCTGGGTAGGAAATAAATATGCTATGGACTTATTAAGTTGCTTTTAGCAAGTCTCACGAACGTACGCTCACAGGAGGCGCAGTGTGTGATAGTTGCGAGTGAAAGCTGCGAGTGAAAGTTTGTCTGTCCTTCTGTCGTCTTTGGTCCTTTCTGTCTTTTTTCTTCGTGCACGTCGCAGTTTTACC